TCTGTGATGGCGCAGAACTTCTACGCGAGGCTGCTGAGAAACAGCGTCTTTTCCCCTCCCTTTGCGAGTTCAAGTGTCCCCTCCCAACAATCAAGTGTCTGTAAGACTGCTGTCGTACTGTGTGACCGTAGCACCTGTGAACTTATTACTTCATTTACAAGTGTCACAAAGACTGCAGCCGTGCTGTGTGACCGTAGCACTTGTGAACTTATTACTTCATTTACAAGTGTCTGTAAGACTGCTGTCGTAACTGTGTGACCGTAGCACTTGTGAACTTAGTACTTCGCTTAACCGAACAGCTCTTGGTTGCGTTGTCCTTTAGGTCTTGATAGTAATATATTTTTAACATGCAAACACAATTTTAACCACAATTTACTGACAAATTTCTGTAAATACTCCGCATGCGTTGGCTAATGACGATAATCTCGGAAGGTACGCCGGGAGAGACTTCTCCGGTACGGCCAAGTAGATTCCGCTCATGATTCCTTTGAAAGCCAAATTTAGGGAAATAAGATTCAAATGAGCATCCTACACGTCTCTGACTACTTGCCTGCAGCCGTTCTGGGACCTGTAGACCAGCACAGAGACGCTGGAGACGTACAGGACCTAACAGAACATCATCCAATTTGACCATCACAGAACGAGGTGATAATTACCGAACTTGCAAACACTGCGGCAACAATATCGCGCTTGGCCATTAAGAGCAGACGAGGCTTGCCAGCTCTGCAGGACCTTTGTGTAAACCTCAATAATTGACACATCGGTGGTCACTGTGCGGTCGACGGTGCATTGCGACAATGCATCTAAGATATGTGACAGTTTTAAAGGGTCAGAGACCGAGAATACATGTTGCGGCGAGAGCATCGTAAAAACATCGGTATTTTAGAAGTGGTCAAAAATAAAATGAACGTCAGTTGACGGTGAAAAAGTCTATAATTTCCTCCAGAATACATCCTGAACTGTTAAATTTTCTTCGGTGTCATCAATTTCAGGAGTGTTTGGCTCACGACGGGCGTGGCAAATGTTTAAACGCCCGCTGATTTAACGATCAGTGGTTTGCACGGCTTTTGTTACACGTGTAGGGAATTTCTCCCTACGCAGAGAGTTGTCGTTTTCTGTAAATTCTTTCATAATTATGTAAGAAGGATTGAAGCCAGTGACGAGAATTGAAGGTTGTTTAAAGAGATTTTATTTGATTTCTTCTGCTGTACAAGATGCTGTTTCTTCCATCGAGGTAATCTAAAAAAATTAGCAGGTCAACATAATGGGGACCGAGACTTGGAGTTTTGAGGAAGACATACTGAACAAGGAAATAAGTTAAGTTTAAAACAAGGGGTTTTGAGTACATTACTGGAGTATTTCAGATTTTCAATTTCGTAATAATTCAGGGTAAAGCTCACCTTATTTAAATCAAAATAAGTGCACGTATGTGGTGCTTTTAGGAAGGCAGATTAAAGTCAATGTGCAGATCTCAATTGGGAAGTTTATACGAGGCCATTAGAGGTAATCGCAAACTGCAAGAGATTAAAGTTTGAAGGTCGACACAGTTCCTTAATTTAAAGCACCTTAACCTACATTGAACATCTTGATACTACAGGTAAGTTTAATAGAGTTAAGGTAGAGTTTAGGGTTCAAATATAACCCGTCAATTAAAGTAGATTGTTACCGAAGTTTTAATGAGAACTTACGGTGCTGGTCAAGCACAGGTTAAGTATTGACCCGATATTTCCTTAAGGGGTAATAGCCACTAAGTTTTACAGGCCTGCCAAGATTTTCATATAATGAGGTGAAAAGCGCATGCACCATTCAACTGAAGAAAAAAACAAAACAAGGATTGTGCACAGCAACTATGGATCTTAATGAAATATTTCTGAAATTATGGTGCGACACAGAGTACGAAGGAAACTTGGGTCACCGTCTTTGTTCACTTTAAGCTATCCTTTTAGAGCCGACGCTCTGTCTTATAAAGACGAGTCCGCTCTACTTCACAATAAGCTTCAAGAAGTCCGGGTGGGAATTTTTTCCAACACACGTGCGCTGACTTAATTATCAGTGGTTTGCGCGGCTCCTGTTACATGTGCGCTGACTTAATTATCAGTGGTTTGCGCGGCTCCTGTTACATGTGCGCTGACTTAATTATCAGTGGTTTGTGCGGCTCTTGTTACATGTGCGCTGACTTAATTATCAGTGGTTTGTGCGGCTCTTGTTACATGCGCGCTGACTTAATTATCAGTGGTTTGTGCGGCTCTTGTTACACGTGCGTTGACTTAATTATATTTATCATGGGACTGTTTTCCACTTCTAAAATATATAGAGGTGTTGATAAGAGATAAGCACGCTGGCTTTCAGCAATACGTATTTGCTCAATGAATTTTGAAATAGAATGGATGTTGAGAATTTATATTAAGATAGAATAGGAGCACCGGGCATACACCCATAACATAATTTCTACTTAATTTTGGCTTAGTAAAGCTAACCATATCTGAGGTTTCCACGAATTATTTCTAGTTCAGTCGGTGAATCTCAACACAAACATGAAATAAATTTACACGTGAATTAAATATCGTTGCTTGTTGGCCTTTCAATATGCCAGCCAAAATTCTTCTAATAGAGATAGAATAGAATAGAAGTGTCGGCGTTGAAGACATAGGCCCATGGCCTATGTCTGGCCATGGACAAAAGGCTGTTAATTAATTAGAGATGAAATAAGATGAGGGTATGATAATACAATAAGTCTAAGTCAAGTGAAACTGCACCCCGAACTCTGCGTTGTGCTTCCCTGCGAACAGCTTGAGCCCGGCAGCGTTGCCGCTACGTTGACACGAGTGCAGCGTGAGCCCGGCAGCGTTGCCGCTACATTGACACGAGTGCAGCGTGAGCCCGGCAGCGTTGCCAGACTTAATTATCAGTGGTTTGTGCGGCTCTTGTTACATGTGCGCTGACTTAATTATCAGTGGTTTGTGCGGCTCTTGTTACATGTGCGCTGACTTAATTATCAGTGGTTTGTGGGGCTCTTGTTACATGTGCGCAGACTTAATTATCAGTGGTTTGTGCTGCTCTTGTTACATGTGCGCCGACTTAATTATCAGTGGTTTGTGCTGCTCTTGTTACAAGTACACATGCGGACCCGGTCGATCCGCTTCAAAAATAGATGTTTCGGGAAAGGGATACGCAAAGTGATTTTAATTAAAACGAATTTACTGTATGAATCTGAATACAACGCATGTTATGAATTAATATTAACAGGGAACTTGGAGCATCGCGCATACAATCACGATACAAGACACGAATTAGGCTTGATAAAGCTAATAATATCTTGGATTTTTATAAATAATTTATGGAACAATTGTAATTTATAATAATCCATTGGAGCGACAGAAAACTAAACAAAATATGTTTTGTTACACATGCCACAATATTGTACAGGATTTCTAATTTAGAGGCATTCACCGGCGGTTGACCGTTGGTCTTCCACAAGCCAGCCAAAACTGTTCAAAGTAAGACGGACGTAAGATTCTTGTTCAATTGAAGATGAAGTCAGGATGAGAACATGTAAATGCTGTGGAGTTATTGTCGGGTGAATTTGCACTCCGAACTCAGCGTCTTATTTCCAGTTCAGGTAATAGTGAACAATAGGCTGAGAATATTGAATAAACTAATAAAGAATAATCTGTGATAATACTGGCAAGTATGGCAGGGTTGCCGCAGATCAGGGAATGCATCGCCAGAAAATAAAGTCGCGAGTTTCAATGCTGATTTTAGTCGAGAATATCTTACGACCGAGTAAGTTATTCGGGGCACGGCAACGTTGCCGCTGCGTTGTTACGGATGCAGAGTTGCCGCTACATTGTTACGAGTGCTGCATGAGCACTCGTGGCTTGTGCGAAATTTGAACTTTATTGGGTACAATTTGAACAATATTGCTGCTAGTTGAACTGTGTATTAAGTGCAAGTTGACATGCAAGAGAAGTGACTCGGAGTGAAACCACCAAGGCAACAAACGCTTTAACGCTCTTTATGGAAGCAAAGTCCTCTTTCCTATATTGGTCACAATCTTCGTTCTCCTTCCTTTCATACAACATCAGCCTACTTTTGCCTCCTTTCGAAATTTAGTATGAAGACTGAACTCACGCCTAAGTCCGTCAAATACCATTTTTTAGTTATAACCAACATTTCCATCTATTCAAAACCTATAAACTGTTCACCTTCTCCCAAAAATCAATTTTTTCACTTCCGAAGCCTTAAACAATTTTGTCCGCCGAATCCTTTCAACTTGTTTTCACATTTTACTGATCAAATAAAGAGGTAACTGCATCAAACTTTATTGAAAGTGATCAGTGACTCAAGGTCGGGCGATCACGGTCCGTTCGATGGCCGCCTATAACCCACCGATAATTCGCCGCAGCGCAGCCCCGGGCCACGCAGCGACTTGACGAGGTTTGCGTGCCAAACATTTGCCCGCCGACCTCATCCTCGCAGCGACTCAATTACCGAGCAGTTGACCACTAACACTGGAGGTGCTTGCGACAATAAGTACATAACTTGGGTTGATATCGGCATTTATAAAAACCTTCACAATGATGTTTCACTCTCAATGAAGTTTTTATAATTCGCCGCACTAATGAAAACGCTGTGGCTGACAACTGCCGTCTCGAGGCGCTGCTGTCTCGTGGCTGCCGTCTCGAGGCCCCCGTGTCGAGGCCCCCGTCTCGAGGCCCCCGTCTCGAGGCTGCCGTCTCGAGGCGTCCGTCTCGAGGCCCCCGTCTCGAGGCCCCCGTCTCGAGGCCACCGTCTCGAGGCGTGCGTCTCGCTGCTGCTTCACTGCCGAGACTCTCGCAGGCGCCGCCATTAGCGCGTGCGTCGGTCGTCAGCTGCGCGATGCCGGAGGAGACATGCAGGTCAGCCTGCTGACTCATATACAATAGCAGGTCACTGCAGGTCCTTGCAGGTCAGCCTGCTGACTCAGATACAATAGCAGGTCACTGCAGGTCCTTGCAGGTCANTGCAGGTCCGTAGCATGGCGAAGTCACTGCAGGTCCGTAGCATGGCGAAGTCACTGCAGGTCCGTAGGCTGAGCAGTTGGACGCAGTGAAATGCAGTGCACAGTTGCGAATGAGAATACAGGTCAGTGCAGGTCGGCAGGCTAAAGCAGGTTAACTTCGTTGTTTGCCTGCTCTACATCGTGCAGGATGACGCCATGTCTCTCCACCTGCACCAGCTCCTGCACCTGCAAAGTAGAAGCGGCGCACAACTTCAGGGAATAATTGCGATGCTAATCATTGTGGCGATGCTCATCATTATGGCTCTCCAGTATAATTAAATTGTTAAAATTTTTAAAAAATGATTCCCTACATAAACAAGGCAGGAAAAGTTGATTTCTTGTTCATTATTGTCGTAAGTAAGCATTACAAATTCTAGAGAGGTAATATGTCATCGTAGAGCGCCTAACGTTCATTGTATTTAACGAGTTGTGGCAACAAGTATTCGTAGTAAATAACGTGATCATTTAATTACCCCCCTCCCCCGTTGGATGAGAGAGAGTTTATTGCTTTTCGTCAGAATCGTCCCTAGGCGCCACGGAAACTGGGACGAACGCAATTCGTGCCGCCCAGTGGCCGCCATTGTATGGATCGATACTTTCGTACATGTCTGACATGACATCGGAAACGAAAGTATAAACTAAAACGGACATAAAGCGGCTGATTTATGTGCTGCTTGAGTCTTAGGTGGCACTCATTTCAGAGTCCGATCTACATCTAAATTTTGATAGGGCCCCACCTCTGGAGAACCTCCGGGAGATCTACACTCATGTTGCTGCCACGACCGTTGCTTCAGCTGCTGTAGCTGCTCTCCTTGTTGATGCTGCTGCAGGGATGTCATCTTATGTTGTTTGTGATGCTGACTGCGATGCTGATGCTTGGCCTGATGCTGAGACTCGTCATCGACAAGGCTGGCGTCAGCACGACGACTCGACGTGATTTTGCCGCTCTTTTGCATCACGTCTGACGAGGCCTGACGTCGGCGGCGGGACGAGCTAACCGCCAGCTCTGATTGGCTGACGCAGGCACACGTCAGCACCGTCAGCAGGAACCTGCAGGGGCGTGAGGTATGAGTGAGCCTGTGGTGTAGGATATGAGTGAGGTCATTAACTCGAGGTGTAGGATATGAGTGAGGTCATT